CACCGCTAGCCCTGCCGCTCTTCCCACCCCCTTCCAAGCCCCACAGTCCAGCGGATGGAGCAGCGAACCCCTTAGCCCTAACTACTTAACTTCAAAGTGACTGGTCAGCTTCACAAAGTTAAAAAGCAAACAACAACAACAACATAACAAGATCTACAAAAAGAACACAGTAGTCCTGGGGAAACAGGTTAGAAAAACCCACTTTCCATCATCCCAAAAGTGGAGGGGTCAACTAAATACATTAACCCAGGGGTCCCCAACCAGTGGGCTATGGCCTATTGGCCACTGAGCTGTGTCAGTAGCTGAACAGAGTGCGTGCACAGCCCCCATTTGTGTGTGTGTGTTGCTGCGAGTGGTCACAAGTGCTCACAATCCCACTTGTGCAGGCACTCACGGCCCCACTCACATGACCATTGTGGACACTCATGGCCCCACTCATACAGGCACTTGTGCCCTCACTCATGCGGGCAGTTGTAGCCCATTTGCACAAATGTTGTGGGTGCTTGCGGCTTCATTTGTGTGACCGCTCGCAACCTCACTTGTGCGAGCAGTGGGTGTGTGCCCACATGCATGCGTGTGTGCATGTGCCTGCCCCTTCCACAAAACCATCCCCTATTCTCCACTCAATTCCAGGTCACCAACCCAGAAAGCTTGGGGAACTCTGCCCTAACCAAAGATCTGGGGGAAGAACGGAATTTTAGGGCTCTTTTGAAGGGAGATAGAGTGGCTGCTCAATGAATCTCCAAGCAGATGTTTTTCTATAATGATGGGGCTGCAACAGAGAAATCCTGCTTTCTGGATTCTGCTAAATGATGATGCTTCCTCAATGGAACTCAAAGGAAGTTAACCCTGATTACTTGGGATAGGCAGATATTACAAGAAATAGATAGTCCTTTAGGCAGCTAGGTCCTATACAGTATAGGACTTTGTAAATAATAAGCAGCACTTTGAATTGCACTCAGAAGATATTGATAACTAATATATCTATATCAAGATAGATATTGATAACTAATATGATGCAGAGGTGTTAATGGGTGTAGTGATATCTGTCTATCACAGCTTATGCTGCTACATTCTGAACCAGCTGTAGATTTCAAGTGGTCTTCAAGGGCAACCTGATGAAAACTATACTGCCATACTTCATCTCCAATATACGAGTGATACTAATGAGGGCTACTTGGTCCAGAAATGAGTTCAACTGGCATGCATGTTGGATTTGTGCAAAGCCCTCGCTACCTGGATCATTGAGAAGGAGTTGAGAATCTAGGAAGACTTCCCCTAGTGACATCCCCTTCTGGACTAAGTTTGGGAATCTCCAGAACATGGAGGTCCAAGCCACTTCACTTAGTAGAATTTAAGTTAAACCTGTTTTCCCCATCCAGACTCCAGCTGCTTCCAAGCATTGGGAGGAAACCTTGACAACATTGTTTTTTTAGTCATAGATTGAGATTCATAGTTGAGTGACATCCATGTATTCATGATACCTGATGCTGAACTGAGGTCAACTGATTGATGACCTTTCCCTTATGCAACCTCATATTAAGCAGGAGGAGCAAGAGCATCAAAGGATTTGGATTTGAATCTACTTACCCCCCCACCCCAAATACTGGCTTGAACTGGCTGAGGAGAGTGTTCTCCAGTTGTATTCTCAACTGGTCTACAAGGATGGCAAGATCAATCCTATCAAAAATTGCTGAGAAATAAAGTAGGGCCAAGTTGGTTGCAACCACCTGCATCCTGGCATCATCAGATATCATCAATGAGCATGATCAGTGCCGTCTCCATACTTAATGTAGGCCTGAAACCCAACTAAAATGGGATCAGACAATCCATTTCTTTCATGGCTCTCTGAAATTGCAACTGACCTCTTCTCAACAATCTTTAGCAGAAAGGGGATGCTGGAGACTGGACAAACGTTGTCCAGGACATTTAGGTCCAGTGACAGTCCTTCACATTTTATTTTATTTTATATCCAAAGTTAAAATAAAGAAAAAAGAAAAACCAACAACCATCAAATGCTAATAATAAAAATAAATGTGTACAAAAATATAACAAATGACATACCAATTTTTCTACATCATTAGTGTATGTTCAGTTGTAAGCTGACATATTTGTGATTATTAAAACTCTTTAAGGTTTGATGATACTGCAACAGGAGTGGATTCTGGCAGGCACTATTGCTGGTTTGCTTGTGAGCGCACTGCGCTCACGTGCAGTGTAATAAAAAGTGTTCTGTGCATACATAGAAGTGATGGTGGTGCCTGGAGAACTGGTTCGGGGGCATGGCAAGCCTGGGTCGCTGTTGGTTCCAGCGACCTAAACCACCAAACCACTACTGGTTCATCCATGAAATGGTCTAAACCTGTAGGAATCCACCACTGTAATGCAACATAAAAGATGGACAGTTTATCACCACCTACCATAAGATCTAACACTTCTTTCTGCCTGCATTAATTTCCTCATCCAAGTAATTGAAAAAGGCAGGCTATAAAGTCTTTTAATATATACCAAATAAAATAATGTTTTGCAGGAGTCTTTGGCAACAGAAGCCAGGGGCTTGTGCAAAATTTATAGATAGATGTAGAATGTTGATATTGTTCTTCAATTCAAAATAATTTTAATGAGTTTACAGATCTTTGCACTTGATATTGTATAGTCTGTTGAAGTCTCATTATAGTCTCAGGGTTTTTAAGTTTCAGTTCCATTTTTTGGACATTAAATCTATCAATCTTGTGAAATAAACAATGAATAAGCTTGAGGTGAAAATCTGCATATTTGCTCTGAAATTTGTCAAGCCTTTTTTGGCATGAATGTCTATTTGCAAATGAAAACAAACAGACAGAAATATTACTAGAGAAAACAGGGAAAGAATTGCCAATTTTTTAAAAAATAGGAAGGGTATTCTTGCCATTCCACTATAGTGTACTGATAATCCCATTTGTGAGCAGAAGTATTTGCTACTCTGTCCATAATATTTTTTGGCATTGTGAAATAATGAATTTAGATCTCCTCCTGAGTAAATGTTGCAAGTACTTGAAGCATGACAAAAGATTTATGCCTATGTTTGTTGATTTGAAAAGAGTTGGATTCTTCAGATACCTAGCGCCTCCCATCATCTTAGTTTAGTTTACTTTATTGTCATTGCACTTGGTACAACAAAATTAAATGCCATCTTCAGTGTACATTATATATAAAAATTGAATTAAAAACCTCTTATTGTATTAATATTGCACTATACAGTAGAATTCAATATAATTATATAATTACTGCTGTGGGAGAGAAGCTGATTTTCAGCCTATTTGTTCTTGTTTTTGTTATCCTGTACTGTCTGCCAGATGGTAATAGTTAAAAAAAAGGGTGCCCAGGATGAGATGGATCTTTAAGAATGTTTTGAACTTCCTTAAGGCAGTGGGAGCTATAAAGCTCTTCCAAAGAGGGGAGAGGGCAATCAATGATCCTCTGGGCAATGATGTTAACCCTCTGGAGTGCTGTCCTATCTCTCACTGTGCAATTGGCAAACCATACACAGATGTAGTAAGTTAAAATACTCTCTGTGGTGCAGCGGTAAAAGGTAACCAGCAGTTTTTCATTCAGTAGTTATTTCCTGAGAAGTCTCAGATAGTATAATCTCTGCTGGGCCTTTTGACCAGTGCTACAATATGAGTGCCTCAGGTCAAGTCCTCTTTTATGATAACACACAGAAACTTAAAACTAGCCACTTGCTCCACTTGGTCTCCATTGATAAGCAAGGGCTGGATGTCTGATCTATTCCATCTATAGTCCACTATAAGATCCTTCGTCTTATTGCTGTTAAGGACCAAGTTATTGTCTGCACACCACAAAAGCAACCAGTCCACTTCATCTCGATAGACTCATGGCCCCCAGAGATGAGTCCCATCGCTGTTGTATCATCTGCAAATTTAATAATAATATTACTGGCGTGAATGGAAATGCAGTCAGGTACATAAAGAGTATAGAGTAAGGGATTTAACATGCAACCTGTGGTGTACCAATGTTAAGAATAATTACTGAGGAGATATGATTACCTAATCCGACTCTCTGAGAGCTGCCAGACAGGAAATCCATAATCCAAAGGCAAATCTTCCTGTACAACCTCTGCCCAGTCCCTTTGTTGATGTCAAAGATTTGCAACACATAGATTCAACAACACAGATTTGTCATCTAGTGCGGATTTCAGCCTCTAGCTTCCAAACGAAAATTCACTGCCTCGGGTGTACTAAATAAGTTATTTCCTTACAAATTAAGAATATATTCCAGGCTTGTCACTTGTGCTTCGGTATAATGACTCCAGTACAATTACATACACTTCCGTTTTGTTAAGTCATGGCTTGTTTGTCCCCTCTCTCTCATTATGAATTACAGAACTTCAGGAAATTCCCAAAGTTACTAATAATTTCAGATAGTTTTTATAAAGTAAGAAGACATGTTGTTTTAATGGAAAAATGAACACACTATATAAGAAGCTGTTGTGAGTAAAAGATAAATTACATTAAATATCATTTGAAATATATATACTAATGTAAAAAGACTGTGGATACAGGGACACATTGGAAAGTTGCCATGATGATCCTTGTAAGGTTGCTTTTACTTTGGTCAGTGAAATGGCATATTTTAATGTGCTAATTCCTTCTCAAATTTTCCAGGTAACAGAGGAATGCATAAAGTCGGAGCTTGAACAAGAATCATACCATAAGAAACTCTTTTATCACAAGATTGAATTAGATAGGCTTTCAAAACAGCAAGGTATCACTTCCTCTTATTTTGTAATTTTTGTTTTCTCCTGAAGAACTCCGTAATGGTGCTGAATACTACATAATCCCTGGAAAGTGTGTAATTATATTTTATGTCATTCTGAAGACATCTCCTAATACTACAGAAAGTCTCCAGATTACAATAACAGTCAGGACTAGGAACTCCATCGCAAGCAACAAAGTCGTAGAGTGCAATGTCACATGACTGCATAACTTAGCAATGACAATTTCAGTAGTTTGGATTGCCATTCAGTTATACAAGGACTATGTGTATCATCATGTGATTGCAATTTTATCATTGACTTCACTTGTGGGAAGCTGGCAGGGAATGGGGGAAACCACAGTCACATGAATCTGGCTTGCTATGATGTTGTAATTGTGAGCTGGGTGCTAAGCACATGGCCACGGGAATGCTGTGACAGTCAGAACTCTGAGGAGGCATCGTAACAGTTGCTGAACAACAGTTGTAAATTTAGGACTATATGGTCCTAAAGAGTGGATTATATATGCTGTATCACTGAAGACAACATTACTTTTAATACATACTAAGCACCTTGATCTAAGAAAATTAAAACTTATAATTTTAATTACTTTAATGCATGTATTAAAATAATTTTCTTTTGTACCTCGCTCCACCCCTTAAATTTAGCGGAGATGCTGCAGAAGAAACGAAAAGAGAAAGACCCTTTGCTTACGGAACTGAGCAGATCGAAAGAAAACCTTGCAAAAAAGGTTGCTCAACTGGAATTGACTATTAAAATTTTAAAGGAGAAGCAGAGCGAACTTGATAAAATAACTCATAGCGTGGAGATGAATCATTTTGGAAAATCCCAGAAATTATCTTCAGAAAATAAAGATTCTTCAGAAAACAACCTACAAAAAAATCCCCAAAGTGAAGAGATAACTTTTAACTCAATCTAGGTATGTTTCTAGATGTTGATACAATTAACAATCTCTGCAAAAATGATTTGATATCATAATCTTAATTTAGTAATTCAAAATATGAAAAAGATATTTCCTTCCACATGTAATCCTTTTATCCTCCCTTCACACATTTCTGCAAATGCCTGTAATTGCCGGTAACTTTCATTATGCCTCAGTTAGCTCACAACTTCAAAATAAGAAAAATCTTAAACCATAATTCGTAATTTCAGATTTGATATCTGTGCTTATTCTGAAAGAGTGAAATTTAATGTTACTTGGGATTGATAGTAACATAGTGGAAATGATGACCCCTTACACAATTGCCAAAATTTGCTCCATATGGCTGGAGTAATTCAGTGAACTAAAGAAGAGGGAGGTATCCTATAGGTAATCACTCAGAGATAAGGCCCAAATAGAATTATTAGATAGCAGTTCTAGCCTATTTGTCTTTTCTCCTAGTTTTGTTAAAAGTGGTCTCATAAGATCAGTTTTGATCAGAACTTTACTGATAACAAAAGAAGGAACAATGCTTTAGATAAGATGATTTTTTAAAATAATGGCCTTCCTCTAGAACCGTGATGGTGAAGTTATGGCGCGCATGCCGCAGGCGACACACGGAGGCATTTCTAAGGGCACGTGAGGTGTTGCCCTGTCAGCTCCAGTGTGCATGCGTGCTCTGGCCAGCTGATTTTCAGACTTGATTTTCTGTCGTTTTTCCCGAACTTCCAGTTTGCGTGTTGGGCTGTTTTTCTCTCTCCCCAGGCTCCTAGAAAGCCTTTGGAGCCTGAGGTGGCTGAAAAATGGACCTACCGGGCCCACCAGATGTCAGAAAACAGGCCATTTCCAGCCTCCAGAGGGCGCGGGGCAGAGCAGCCGTTTTCGCCCTTCCCCGCCTCCAAGAAAGCTGTGCGCGCATGAGTGGGGCAGGGGGGTGGTCACGCGCGCATGCACAGGGGACACAGTGCTGGGGTCATTAAATTATGGAGGTGGACATGTGAGAGAGCGCACGAGCCTGCTTTTGGCACCCGAAGCGAAAAAGGTTCACCATCACTGCTGTAGAAGAAAACATTGATGTTTGAAAAGGATTATGTTGTAGCAAATAGGGATGAACAAAACAACAAATCCTTAGAAAATTACTGATGAAAACAAAACGTTATTTTTGTGATCAATAGTTTGTGATAAATAACTGTTAAGATATTTTGTAATGAAATTCTATAGAGGACTTTCTCTTAAATAAGTATCTTTTTGTTTAGTCATAAGGAAGTATTTGTTTACCTGGAGTAAGGACAGAAACCAGCAGAAGGAAACACCTAAAAGACTGTCCCATACCTGACCTGACTCTAGAGGTTAGAAGCTGTGGTAAGATTTTGAGATGAAGACTACAATTCTAGAGGTTTTTTTTTTCCTGTCATGATTTCAAGCACTATATTTTATTCAAATTTATTTTATGTTTCAAGAAAAGTAAAAAAAAAAAGTTAAGAACTTTTGTCTCTTGGCTCATTAAATAACAGTATAATATATTTTTATCAATAGCATCTCCTCAAAGAAGATAATAAGCTCTATATTTTCTGAACAGTTGAAAGTTTCATTAAATTGCAGTTTCATTAAACCTAATTTTTAGGTTGCAGTTGTGAGAACATTTGATTAATTTTTGTTGATGGATTGCCACAGCTCTCAAAACTTTTCAGGAGAGGGTTTTTGTGTATAAAAATAATAATAGGAAGCTTAATGTGTTTTTGTTATGAGAAAGTAACCGCATCACTCAGTTTTTCCCCCTGGATAATGTCACCCTAAGATGCTTCTTGTTATCCATATTATTCTATTTTAAAAGAATGGATCTTTTAAGAACATTTTAAAAGAATGCCACATTATTCTATGAGTACATTGTATGGCATTATACTCTAAGAAAGAAGTCATAGTGCCATATTTATTTCCCTCTGGTCAGAAAAAAAATGTTTTTTAAAAAAACATTTCCTCCTGACATCTACAAACACAAATCTTCACCATTGGAACCCTTCAGAAAACTTTAATAAGTAAAACATATTTTCTCTTTTTTTAGTGTTCTATTAGTTTTTGCTGAAAAGTTCTTCACAATTTTAAGCTCAGCTCTAACTAAATATTTAATCTTCCAGTAGGCTTTGGAGCATTTTGGGGGAAAAAAACATGTCATAGAGCTTTGTTTTTACACTACTTCTTGAATGTAATGTAGAGGCAAACATGGAAATTTTAAGAAATTTTTAAAACAGAAAGGGGATGGTTATTTTGAAATTTTTTTTTTTTTGCAAAAGTGCTTTTAAATAAATTAGAATTAAATTAGCCAAAAGAACTAGACCTTTGTGGGAATGCTTTTTTTGTTTATTATTAAAGAATGCATACAATTGGTGGATTGCACAAAACAAAAAATAACAGATGATGAGTCAGACTCTGAAACTGACTAATTAGTTTTTGACTGTGATGTTGAACATAATTAATTCTATTAGGGATGAAAGCACAAAAATACAAAAAATGTAGGAAGCTTGCCTTTAATTTTCTCTTGTTTGAGACACTTTCAATTTTGGATTATAATACAATGTCAACCATTAGAAAAACAGCAAAAATGGAGGAGAGGAGCTCACTAGAGCAACCTGCAGAAAAAGGAATTACACCAGGTTTGCTTCAGAAGTAATGTTAGCAAATGGGCAAATAAGATAGGATCACTTGATATTAAATTAATAGTGCTTAAGAAAAAAAATGGATGAAAGACTTGTAAAGAGGAAAGAGGAGATGGAAGAAGCCAAGATGATGGAAAGTGCTATAGCAAATGTCTGGAAAGATAAAACAAATCAACGACAAAATAGAAATTTTAGAGAGGACAGAAGTTCCTGACAGGGAGTTGAAAAGAGAACTAGATAATCTGGCTATATTTGATTAAGAGAATAAGAATTTGTTTTAGGACTTAGACAAGGCCATAGGGTTCTGGTAAAGATACTAAAGAGGAGATTATTAAAGTCGTGGCAATTTTTTTGGATTGAGCAGAGGAGGCATAAATTGATAAAAATGTATAGAATAAATTCAAGATTTGCAAGAACAAGAAATATTCCAAGGGATACTTTCGTGCACTTTGTCAGGAAGAAAAAAGGATTAAGTTTTGCATTAAGTATTGGCAATATGGTTATAATTGCAGTAAATTAGTACCATAAATTTGTGTAAGGAGAAATAAGTATTTTTTGACTAAGATTAAACAGTAAAGGATCCCATTTTGATGGAACAAATTGGAAGATATGAATTTTACTTTTAAATAGCAGAGGTTGCAGTTGAATTCTGTCCAGGAAATTTGTGGAAATTTCTAGAAAAATTCAAAAAAGAATTGGAAGACATTCAAATGAAAGTGTCAAAGAAGACACAAAAACTCCAACAGGTGTAAGAGGAAACTGAAAGGGATACACTGGATTAGTATTGGTTATAAGTATTGATACTTATAAGTATTGGTTCTTCTATTTTTTATGTGATTATGGATTACAAGTTATCCATATGTTTTACATTAAAATATAAATGTTGCAAATGCTTCCCGAAAGTAAAAAAAAAAGTCATTATTTGAAAAAATTAAAACGATATTATTTGCCTACAAAAGACACATATCGGAAAAAGATATAGAGTTTTCCTTCTCCCTTCTCACAGTTTTTGCAACGTGTGTGCATGCACACACTTTTGAAAGAAGCATCTCTTGCTGTTTGGTTTGGATGAAAGAGTAACTGTTCTTGAGAAATAGAAGGCTTTTGAGTTAAAAGGACATGAGATTAAGTTGGCATGGATATTTGTGATACAATAAAGTTGAAGTTCATTGGATTTGGAAAATAATTGTTATTTGTGCTATATTGAGAATGGAAGAGATACAAATCCAGGTTGTACTCAAAAACATCTTTCTGGCTCTTAGTATAACAAGAAATAATAGACAAGAAATAATAGGCAAACACATTTGGCTAACTTATTGTGAGCTACTAATGTTGTGTTAGGAAGAATGTAAAATAAAGAACTAATGATAGAGGAACAATGGTTTTCTTATATACAATTACCAGAAAGATTTAAAATAGCTAAAAGAACATCATAAGGCTGAATTTGAAATAGAATTGTGTACAAATGATGAATATGCAATTGCTAAAATGTATAAACTTTTATTGAAATGTGAAATAGTACAATTTCTGGAAAGTTTGATAAAGTGGACTACTATTTTAATTATAATAAACAGATGAAACAGTGGGGAAATGTGTGGTTGAAAGGATCAAAATTTACACTATGTTATAATCTTAAATATATTTTTTATACAATGATGTTTTGTAAGTATATGTCACTGGAGAAATTGCCTGGAATGTATAAAAGCACTTAATTCATATTGGATATGTGAACAAGAAGAAGAGACATTGTATCATGCTTGATGGATATGTAAAAGAGCTATAAAATTAAGACTTTTCTTTTTGGAATTGATGGTCAAACAATTGGAAAAAAGTCTTAGAAATTTGTTTTTGTACTTGATAAATGCAGCAAAGTTATTATATTCACAAACATAGAAAGATTTGGCATTCCCCACAATGGAAGAATATTGGATACAGATGATGGAACTTGGTGAGATGGCAAAATTGTTTAGCAAAAAGACAATTTCTATGTTTACTGCGGACAAGAAACCCCTTATGGACTTTTTGTACAAAACAGAAAAAATAAACGTGTGATTTGTGGTTTTTAATTATTAGAAAAGATACTTTACAGAAAGAATAGAATTAAATTGTAACTAAAGAGTGAATTTATGAATGTATCTACACAGGTAATCCTCAACATGATCAGAATGGGGACCAGAATTTCTGGTGCAGTCGTAACTTATCAAGTGATTAGACTAGATTTTATGACCATTTTTATGGTGGTTATAAAACAAATCATTGTGGTCATTAAGCAAAATTGCATGATAAACAAATTCAGCTTCCATAATTGTTTTTTGTTAGAAACCAACTGGGAAGGTCGGAAACCACAATCACATGATCATAGGATGCTGCATTTGGTCATAAATGTGAGCCAATTGCTAAACATCTGAATTGTGGTCACATGATCATGGAAGGGGTTGATACAATGGTTGCAAATGTAGGGACAGGTGGTAAATAATAATGACAAGGTTGTCATGACTTTGAATTGTCATTAAATGAATGTCATAAGTCATGGACTATCTGTAACTTCTAAAAAGAAGATTTGAAGGTACTTTATATCTTTTCTCTTTCTTTTTTATTTTTCCTTTCCCCCCCTTTCTTCCACTTTTACCTTTCTCTTTGATTTCTTTCTTTGCTTTTTTTTACATTTACATTAGTTTTATTTTCCTTCTTAATTTTTTAAATAAAATTACTCAAAAAATCTTAAATTATGTTTTTAAAACTACAGATGTAATTCATTAAAAAATCTTAAAAGTGGTCAGACTCTTAATCAGTTGGAAACAGAAAAAAATAATTATCTGACTAAGTGAAATATGTTTTACTGCTGGATAAGCCTACCTAATCCTACCATCTTCTGAAAACACAAAGTTGGAGCTCTGTATTTGGAACTGGTAATATTTTTTTTTTTTGCCAACTGAATGACACCTAAATTTCACACTGAAAGGTCATGTAACACAGTTTGCAGATAGTCAAAAATCTGTACATTTATATTTGGATAAAAAGTATTAGTAACTAATTCCTATCTATTCACTAATCCGATGTATGTTCTTGGATTTTTAGTGGAAGTTAATAAATGGATGTATTTTATTGAAAAAAACCAGACTGAACCTTTGAAGTACACAAATGTAGAAAGTGTGTTTCTAACTAATATTTAGACATCTCACTGCATTCCTAAAAAATATTGATCCTTTTTTAACATGAAGTAAATGAAATAAATACCACGACCATGTCATGCTGTAAGTCAGTCTGAAAGCCTCAAGCAACATCTAATGAAGTGGCATCATTTTCCGGCAGAGATGGTGGGAGGGGCTACAGCTGGGTTTGGAGAAACAGCCGTGGCTTGAAGAAACAGTGCTGCAGCTTTAAACAGCATGCCGCAACTTGACAGCGCGCTGCAGTTTAAATCACAACCGTGGCTTCAAAGGCAGCGCCACGGCTTGAAATAATGAAGCGCCGCGGCTCAAACAAAAGAAGACAGCCTTGCCTTTGATTAATTGCACCGAATGTTGGGGGAGTGTGTGGCTTGCTGCAAGCCGGCTGTCGATGCAGAGCTATTAACTGGAGGCGCGGCTTCTCCACGAGGCGCGGTGGCCATTTTGTGCACCCATGAGCTGGCCATTTTGTTGGAGGTGTCAGTGGTCTGCTTTGCAGCTGTACATCAAGGCTGGCGAGTTATTGTCAAGAATCCTG